TCAGCCTCCCAAGTGCTGGGATTACAGGCATGCACCACCACGCCTGGCAAGATACTTTTGATATTAAATGCCAGGCACATTATAAACCAAGATAACTTCATGGCAATGTTTTTACAAACAACATGGAAATGCTCAGGTGTTTTCTTAATATTTTATTCTATTTAATGACTTCTATTGTAAATTGTAACAAAGCTTTTCTTTCGTATTAGTCATTCTACTGTCTCCTCAAATTAAAAAAAGAAAAAAAATCCTGATTTCTCATTAGTACTATTCTAAATACAAACAAGAAAACAAGTATAATTAAAAAAATCAGTGTGTTATGGTCATGATCATTTGTGAAATTTTGTATTTCCCTGCTTTCTCTTCCAAGTGGAATTTATAGATCTGAATTGTTGTGACTATGGTGTGTGGTCCAAAATCCAAAAATGATTTAAAAAAATAATCTCCAACAGACTGGAAGCCAGACATGAAGTACAAAATTTCTTGTGAAAATAAATTTCATTTGTAGACTTTTTGTAATTAAAAATAAATGGTGAAGGGAGATGTAAGACCCAGAAAGAAGGCAAAGATCTATGACTATCTTCAGGTTAAAATAACTCCTACATGAAAGTGCAAACAATTTGATTATAAAATTGCAGAGAGTCGGGTGTGGTGGTACACATCTGTAATTTCAGCACTTGGGAGGCTGAGGCAGGAGAATCACTATGACTTCAAGGCCAGCCTGGGCTACAAAGTAGTAAGTTCAAGGCCAGCTTGAACTGCATAGTGAAACTCTTGTCTCAAAATGATAAAGAAAAGAAAAAAAGTGCAGAGAAGTTGATTATAAGGCTTCTGCTGCTGCACAGCACAGTAATGCATCCCTTATCTCCCATAGCCATGGATTATCTAGTAGGCTGCTAAGACAGACTTTTTAGAAAAGTGTTTCAGTAGGAAGAACAAAGCATTTCATTAGTACAAGATACCCTGATGATCAGATTATTACATACTCTAATTATGTCCTCTGATGTTGTTCACAAAAATGTGAACATGGTTATCCCATTTTACATTCTTTCTAAATATTTTAATTAGCAATCAGAAACAAACGAAGCTAAGGAGCTAGGAACAAACAATTTTAAGAAAAGCCAGGAGTAACACAATCCAGAAAAATATAGTTCACTGGCTATTTATGATGAAAGTCCTAAATTACCTGAAAAATAAATGTTTTAATATATTGTAAGAAAGCACAAGTGTATGATTCATTTAATACTTTCATCAAATGGTTAAAATAAATCCAATAGTAGTTGTTAATGACTTAAGCTTCAGTTACCCGCAATGTTCTCGTTAAGACATTTTCTTTCCTGGGAATGCCATAAAATGAAGAAACTGATAGGAAAGTAAGAATTCCTAATCTTCAGTGACAGAAAGGACAACACAGACTACGAATTTTAGATTTCCTATCAATTAACTATATATGCATCATAAAGCATCCCTGGGGTCTACAACATATCTACTACTTAATAGTAATAGCACTGGTTAAGTTTGATACATTTAGTTATAAGAAACTTATAAATATAGTCACATTCAATCTAAAAAAATTTCCCCCAGTACTGAAGATTGAATCAAGGGCATTCTACCACTGAGCTACCTCCCCAGCTCTGTAATTTTTTTGAAGTTTCACTAAACTGCTCAGGTTGGCCTTGAGCTTCTGATCCCAAGTAGCTGGGATGACAGACGTGCACCACCATGTCCAGCTTTTTTTAAAAACAGTACTAGGGATTGAACCTAGGGCTTTGCACATGCTAGGTACATGCTCTACCAGTGTGCTACATCCTCACTCACTCTAAATATTCTAAAATATATTTTACAATCTGGATTATTTTGGTAATTATCCCCAAAGTCATGTTAGGGAACATACACTAAGAATCTAAGCTTTTAAAAATATATAAAGTGATTATAATTAAAACAATTTGAGACAAAATGAATGACTGACAGGATAATAGTATTTTTGTATTATTTTCTCTGTTCCCATTGTATCACAGACTAATTTAAAAACATCTTTAATGTTTGCAGTGCTTGTTCAAAAGAAAATTCTCTAATGACAAATAAACCTATAAAACATAAAGTCATAAAACCATTTTGAAAAGTAGGTTCTTAATTTTTGATCATTAGTAGTCTTTTTATGTAACAAAACTTTCGCGACTGTTTTGTAAAAGGTTAAATAAAAATTCCACTTCTCCAGATTATCAGTCCTTTTACTTTAACACAAATTAATGGGGCTTTGTGGTGACATTTCTTACTATGGTTTCAGCTTTATTTCTGCATAGCTTCACTGTAATATCTATTACTATGGTTTCAATTTCACTTTTGTACACCTGATGCTATCACTAATGCATACTTGCTTTCTATCACAATCTTAAAGTGGTTAACTCACTTCAAGAATTGAAGTGTCAAGTACACTTCCATTCCAAAAACATCCGCAAACTAAAACGCGTAATTTAAAATCTTTATTATTTTATCATCAAAAGTTTTCTTTCCATAGAAGAATGGCAATGTTGTGTCAGTGCATATTCTATGGAAACTTCATATCTTAAGTAACTAGCCTAGAAATCAGAGACAGCAAGTGTGTCAAGCTAGTGTGCAAGGTCAAAGACACAATGCTGCCAATGCAATTAGTATACAGAAAGAATATGCAGGTGTTATGAAAAAAATAGTCTATGGCCAAGTGAATAAAAAGCAGTGCACTGCACTGACATTCTAGAGGAACAGAAAATGGGAAGAACCAGAGGATGCATTTTCTAAAAAAAAAAAAAAACAAAACAAAACCAGCAGACCACAGGCACAAAGAGTTCCAACTGTATCACCAGCTAATTCATGCACACTTGTAGTACCTTCCTCTTGAGGGCTAGAACATTATTACATGGCAAGCCATTTCCAGCCTAATGGGCAAATGCCATAACCACAAGCAGAAATTCCACACTGCTTCCCGTCTTATAGCCAAAAGAAACAAAAGTTGGGTCAGGAAACAAAAAACACAAAAACCTGCCGCTTTAGGCATCTTTAGTAAAACGCTGAACAACTCAGAATTTATTCCCATTTTCTTGAGAAATAAACTTAAAACAAAAAAGACACCTGTCATGATTACTTAGTTTTGACTGAAGGCAAAACAATTTTTATATAAATATTCTGAAGAGACATACAAATATCCTTAACAAAATACTGTCAGATCGAATTGAAAATTTTCATAACCAGCTCCTAAAAAAGGTACTGATAATCATAAGATGTAAATGGCCACTACATTTTGATCATGCCTGGTTACTGGGAATTTTTTGGTCAAGTCTGTACCTGAAGCTGCTATACAGCTAGATTTGGCTACTCTGTATTAATTCATATGATAAGTGTCTTTCATAAGGAAATAGCAGATCTATTATCATGGGATCAAACAAATACAGGAAATATGTCTTAAGTACTTTAAAATTACATGATATAACCTAAGAATAAGAACTACTCTTATCATGGTCTAAATCTTAAATTGTTAACGCACAGATTATTTGCAAGACTAACAAGTCACTTGTTAATCATGGCAAGGCCTTATGAAGTGGGGGGCACTTAATGTATGGGATAGCAATTATTTTCCAGATGAGTTAAACATTTCTAAGTGTTATTAAACTGTATTTGAAAAGTTCTTTTACTTAATATATACAATGTACAAAATAAGTTAAAAGGAGGAAGCAGAGGAAGGTTTTCTGGTATATATGATGCAAACATGCCTCTTTCCCTCATCAGTAGTTCCGTGTATGTCCACTTTACCCAAGATAAAACACAAAAAGCCAATCAAAAATTTCACTTATAAATAGAAAAAGCATTCAAACAATGGAATTTCAACATTTTTCCCCCACACTGCAACTCACTCTACTTTGACTATAATAAACATAAATAATGGCATCTCAAAAATCTGTTTTTACATCCTTACCTTAAAGTTTAACATAAATTCCTCTAACAGTTGAGAAGAAAAGCACTCCTTTGTAACAATGCCACAAAATAATTTTCAATTCACAAAACATCAGTCTATAGTAAAACCAGCAACCCTTATGGAGGGCATGGGCATTACACTTGGCCCCTCTGAGGTATAAATGCAGCTATATTTGCATTGAGTAGATAGTCTATAAGGTATGCCAATAGTCTGCGTGTTTGCATAAAAGTGGGAGCAATATCATCCTGAAAACTTACTTTTTAAATTTTTTATAATAATGAGGATCAACTAAGAAAAAAATACCTTAGCCCAGTAATATAGGCAGAGGAAGTCTGAATTCCTAACCAATGCAAATAGTTATCACATTTAAAAAATACTTAACATTGCATTTGATTAAAAAAAAAAAGCCAAACAAGAAAAACATACAAATATTTAAATACAGCAGGACACCACAAAAAGCATACTATAGATAAGTGTGAAATCACTCAAGCTTTTCCAAGACAGAAAATCCTTTTAATCCACCAGCAAGTCTCTGTGAAAAAAATATGCGTACAATAAAAGTGTCAAGGGAGCACCTAGGATACCCCCAAGAGGCTTGCTACATCATGTATCATTACTGCCCCATTTCTTGTATGCACGGGTGGTCAACAGGTGACAAGAAGTCCATTTGACAATAGTTCAGTAACTTCCTTTTACCACTGCTGCCAGCTGAAATCATCATTGCTTCCGAAGACCAAGAAAAAGCCTAGTATCGTTGCGAAGATGACCGTGTTTCCTGTGAGAACAAGTGCACAAGCTCCCCACTCAATCTATGGAAATGAGATATAAACACTTAGTTAACAGACATAAAAAAACAAAGGAAAATAAAAAGCAAATCAAGGTTCTAACTGTATGCCAATCATGATCTAAGGTAAATATGGTTTGTAATAGCTTTTACAGCATTGAACCCTTAATGTACCTTTACATGGCTTTTATTTACCTTCGGTTCCTTTAAAAAGATAGAAAATTATGAAACAATAATTATTCAAAAACAAGCTTATCTTCTGGGTTCTGATGACACAGCATAGAATCTTATGATTTTCTGCTTAGACAGAAATTTGCTCATTCTTAGTGAAAGTAAAAATCCATTTAGAGAACAGATTAGATGTGAATTTCCAGAGATGAAAACACACTCGTGCGCATTGTTTCCAAGGGGCTGGGGAAGTCATCACCATCTCTACCTTCCAGGACAGCCAGGCATCTCCTTCACTACCTTTCTAGAGATGGTGGGGTAAATCTGGGTTGACGAGTGTTGGGGGAAGAACTGAGTATCTGCAGGCTAGCCCTTTCTCCTCTTTAGTACTTTCTTACCTGCAAAGAACACACTTCTCAAGACTTCTACGTTTTCAGTTTCACAGGGCAGGCTGGTGGGTGTTCAGCATTGAATGAGCTAACAGCTAGGTATTAGTAAGCCAAGTTGCTACAGACCTATGATATGCTCTCTAGTATCATTTTATGAATGATCAAAAACAACAAAAAATTAAGATTTTAATATTTATTTTCTAGGCTGCTATGTCTCTCATCTCATTTTCATGTTATTAAAAACTAAAGTTAACACAATCCAACAAAAATTATTCACAGAAAATAATACATTCACTTACCAGATGTGCTCTGGCAAATACAATGGGGAGTCCAAAAGCAGAGACAACGATGCCGGTTGTGAGAAATATTGCAAGTTCCTTACAAGCATTACTCATAGCATCTGTGTCATCCACTAATCTTCTTGCTATGCAGTATGGAATAGGTGAAAGGACGTAAAAAAACAGGACAAAGAGGGGCCAGTATTGGCTAGAAAAAGAAAAATAAGTTAACTGCAGTTTTTGCTATGTATGTCACTCTCCTACATACAAAATACGATTTTCTTTTTTTAAATCTTTTTGAGACAGGGTCTCACATTGCAGTTCAGGCTGGCCTTGAGCCCACTTTGTAGCCCAGGCTGGTCTCAAACTCACGATCCTCCTGCCTCAGCCTCCCAAATGCTGGGATTACAGGCGTGCGCCACCATGCCCAGCTACACGATTTTCTTTTTATAAGGTCCAAAGGAATATTGCAAAATACCAAACATGGTGGTGCATATGAAAAGTGAGTAACAAACTGAAAACTGAAATGTGAAACATTTGGAGTTACAGTATCTCTGAAATCAATGACACATTACTTTTTTTAATATTAAATAAAAAATTTAATAGATACATATAAGTAACAGTTGGCATTGAGGCCCTAAATTCTTTTTTTTTCCGTTTTAGGTTACAAAGAAGTATATGAAAAATGAGAATAGAAACAGTCAACTTTTGAAATTCATGCCTCAGCGTAAAGTTGAAGGCCTTAGCCGTGCCTTTCTTAAGTCACTAGGCACTCCTGAAATACTGAAACCAAAACACAGGAAACTCGCTGAAAGTAATACTGAAGATTTCAGTCAGAATGTAAGTTTGTCTCAGTAAAAATGGCTCACTTTTAGTGTTATTTGGTTAACTATATTGTGCCAGTGTCATTTCCTGCCAGTTATGTAAGATATTACAAGTGGGAGAAGTTGTTTGAGGGGCACAGGGAAGCTTTTTGTACTATTTTTGCAACTTCTTGATAATCTATAATAGTTTCAAACTAAAAAGTTGAAAAGAAATAGATGGTCTTTAAGACTGCCACTGAATAAATTATATGTTACAACAGAGATTGCTTGTACTCAGGGGCTTAGGGCAATAAGATCTACCTATGCATTCTTCCCAAAACATTTAAGCTGTTGAAGTACACACTTAAGAGAAAAATTTCAAATAACACAAAAGCACAAAAAGTGAAAACCAACAGTTCCCCAGACCTCCCCTGCTTTCTTTCTCAATTCCCTATGGAGCTTCTTGGCCTACACTTCCACAATCACCTAGAGATAAACTTTAAGAGGGTAACTGGATTACTGCATTGTTTTTTCATTTAATATTATCTCAAACATCTACACATAATGACTATATACCTCTTCCTCATCTGTTAAGGCTTCCTAGGACTTTCAGGGATGGACATACCATCATTTAACCATTTTTCTTTTGATCAAAGTTACACATTCATGGTATCATCAGGTTTCTTTTTTTGCTATTATAAACAAGTCTATCATAAATACCTATGCTCTCTCTCAACTACATATATTTTTGCAAACAACTGCGAGTGGATTTTTATGCAAAAGTCTAAGAAGTAAAAGCAAAGAACTATAAGCAAACTGGTCTCTAGATGAGCAAACTGGTCTCTTGGCAAACTGCACTTATTTATACTTTAGATCCCCCCACCAAAGTACCTAGCAGTACCTATCTGCCCATATATTTTGTCTTTGCCAATGTATCTCACTTAGTGTTGCAGGAGTCTGAGTATACTTTCACGTGTTTATTAGCAATGTGCAGTTCTCAGGTTTGTTGTCCATTTTTCTACTGAGTTGTCTTTTTCTAATTTATCTAAATATTAATTTAAAAAAAGTTCTTTCTAGCCTAGAAAATGCCACTGTCTACACCATTTTTAAAGTCAATTGTGTTCTAACTCTGCTTACAACATTTTCTGTAAAAGATGCTTTTCTTTTCTTATATTTAATGTTATAAATGTTTAATAGTGCTAAAAACTAAACAGCAGGACTGAGCTGTGTTGCTATCTTGCTACTGTAGACTCCATAGTAGTCAAACAGCAGATAATAATCAACAACTTCTTTCTGTACTTTGGTGTCCTAAGCTTTACAAATAAATTTTAAGTGATGATTTTTAAAAAGGTTTGTGTTTGGTGAGCATCTCTCTGCATTAATTTTACATTAGACAACAAAACATTTTTACAGATTCAAAGTAGAAACATTTTACCTTAAAACACTCAGAGAATAATTTTACGTACTTGTATATTGGAAGGGCACATCCAAGCATCAAAAACATCAGCCCAATTGCTCCTCCAAAGGACAAGCTAATCAAAGCTGCAAAGCAAGTAAGTCCAAGAGATAATATCAGTTAAACTATGTTAATATTGTTTTTGCTAATGTATTAGCATTATGAACATTACCAGTCATGCTAGAAGCAAAACAAACCTCCCCAACCTGAATGTAATAAAAGTGAGTTGTTGCCAGGTACAGTGCCACATACCTGTAATCCTACCTACTCTGGGGCTAAGGTGGAAGGATCACAAATTCACAAGGCCAGTGTAGGAAACTTAACTTAGTGAGACACCATCTCAAAAGTAAAATTAAAAAAGGCCTAGTGATGTAGTTCAGTACCAGAGTGCATTCATAAAATGTGCAAGGCCCTGGGTTCAATTCCCAGCAACAGACACAGACACACAGAAGCATGCACACTCAAACATGCGCTTCAAGAGCGTAAGTTACATAGGAAGAAGAAGTCTTCTGCGGCATCTTCAAGACAAATAAAGTGCTACAGGTTGTGCACCATCCTTAACTTGAAAAGTGAAATCTAAAATGTTCTAAAGTCTGAAGATAATTATTATTACCGATTTTGTACAAAATTACCTTGAGGCCATATACATGAAAAATAAATGAACTTTGTATTTAGATTTAGGTCCCACCCCCAACACATCCCATTAAGTAGATGCAAGCATCCCAAAATTTAAAAATCTAAAATCTGAAACATTTTTGGTTGCAAGTACTTTCAGTAAGGGAAACTCAACTCGCACTAATTTTCAGAGTTTTGACTTACTGCTACCACCCCCTCCTCCCCAATTGTTCCCTTTGTGTTGAGTGTCACAGCCCATAGGATCAAGGTCTTCCAGGCATTAGCGTTATTATTCACTCCATTACAATTCTGAAAAGCAGCTTGTACAGAAAAATCTACATTCTCAAGTTTACTGGACTTTAGAACCCTCATCCTATGGAAAAACTTCTCTCAATCAGCTTTTGCTTCTTGCGGACACCCACTCGACATGTGCCAGGTGCATTGGTATGCCCTTGTACTCCCAGCTATTTGGGAGGCTGAAGCTGGGGAATCTTTGGAGCCCAACAGTTGAAGTCCAGCCAAGGCAACATGACAAGATTCCTATCTCAAAACAAACAGAAAACCCAAAACTGATAGAAAAGAAGTTCAAAGGTGTCTATAGTTAATAATTTTACTCAACTCACTCTGTTACAGATCTTTAAATAGCTTGGAGAACGATAGCTGGGGTTCTGCCTCTAATTTCTTAAATACAAATCTGCACAATAAAGGATAGGTACAACCCTTCTGTGGGGGTCATTATTTTAAGATAGATACATTCAACAGGTGAAATACAGTTTCTAAAGCTACACACAGCAGTGTATTTTAAAGTGCTTTAAACGGGTGGCATTTCAGAACTAAAATGGTCATAATCAAGAACACCCACAGACATGGCAGCTTGGCAGATTTGGTTTTCCGTTGGATCACTGATGTAGGTCATGTCAATTCTGACCTTGTTTATTTAGTTCTTAATATTATTTATCATATCTTCAGCTAATGGGAAAAAACCAAATATTTCATTTTATAGCAAACAAAACACTTCAACCTTACAAGGAAATGCAGCATAAAGTGTGAGAAAAATACAGTACTGAGCTTATCCTTAGTTCTCTTTAGTTCAAAATAGGTCCTGAGGATCTGGCCCTGCCTGTCTCCCCTTCTGCACGTCACAGCAGCCAGCCACCTTACTCTCTGCGAACTTCTGCAACACTGGCCCCTTTCGCTTTACTGGGAATCAGAAGGCTCTCTCACCCACATGGCCTCTGCACATGCTGTCCTTTCTACCTCAGTTTCTCCTCACTCACTACAGATTTACTGAAGCCAAAGCTGTAATGGGTGCCACGTACCCGACAGCGACCACACGTGGGCCCTTCATGCTCCCAGAGCTGATGGTCTTGCCCTACTCCTCCCATCTTCCTCCAAATTAACTCCAACTTTTCCTTCCCATCTCAGCTCAATCATCTCTTCTTCAGTGAACTTTTCCAAATCTCCCAACTAGACAAATTCTCCCTACATAAATAATTTATTCATCAACTGAAGATACCCAAATGTCACGCATTCTTCTTGCTAGTGAAGTCAGAGCGATGAAAAAAATAAAGCTCTTGTTTTTGTGGAGGTTACATTCTGTGGGAACACAAAATGATTTATTAAAAAAGTAAACAAATAAATGTTCAATGATGAAGAAAAAACAAAAAACCAAACCAGATCAGGTAAGGGATGAAAATGCAAGTCTAGATGGAGTAGCTTGGAGAAGTGTCTGATGAGGTGCCATCTGAGCAGAGCCCCATGAAATGAGGGAGTAAACCATGTGGGTACCTGGGGCAGCATTCCAGACAGATGCCCTCTTTGTACTGCATGCCTCTCCTTACTCAGTTACCACAGCTGCAATTTCATACTGATTTTTGGTATATCTGTCTTTCCTTCTCAACTGGGGAGAGAAGGGAGCAAGTTTTTTTGTTGTTGATGTGCATGTTTCAACTCAAAACGTACAATTACAAGTATCTGGGGGCTGGGGATTTAGCTCAGCGGCAAAAGCGCCTGCCTGGCAAGCGCAAGGTCGTGAGTTCGGTTCCGGTACCGGAGAAAACAAAAAAAAAAAAAAAACAAAAACAAGTATCTGTAGAATTAATGTAGCTGAGTAGAAATGGCCCATAATTGAAATTTAGGAGCTCCTGGGTCCAGGTCCCTACTGTCCACTAGCTACTGTCTAAATAACTTACAAAACTCAGTTCTTTCTTCTTAAAATGAGATGCTTGATCTAAAAGGCAAAAAAGGGGCTGGGGATTTAGCTCAGCGGCAAAGCGCCTGCCTGGCAAGCGCAAGGTTGTGAGTTCGATTCCTGGTACCAGAAGAAAAACAAAACAAACACACAAACAAAAAAAAAAATAAAAGGCAAAAAAACTCTGACTGCTATTAAAAGACATTCTGAGGAAATAAAAGTATCTCAAGGTCTTGTGGACAGTAGGCAAGGTATTCTACCAGAGCTCTGGCCCTGGCGCCATCTCTCTACTCAAAATGTAGTTCCAAACATCTAAGTTCACTACTGTAAATACTGCACAGTAACACCTCATTTATTCAGAAGTCATTTATCCAGAACACAGTTAACAATCCAGAGGAAGCAAAGGCCACTATAAAAAGAAAAAATAAATGTCACAAAGCCCATACACTACAGGTAACTATTTTTGTATGTAGATGCTAAAGCTCTTATTCAGAAGTTACTCATTTTTGTGACACAACTTTTGGGTGTAAATACAACCACAGTAAAAAAATTTAAAGAATCATCTATGCTCATTTATACATTTCTTTTTCTTTTTCTTTTTTTTTTTTTTTTTTTTTTTTTTCCGGTACCGGGAACCGAACTCACGACCTTGCACTTGCCAGGCAGGCACTTTGCTGCTGAGCTAAATCCCCAGCCCCTCATTTATACATTTCTCTCAATAGATAATTCATGTACCCAGACCAAAATTCAAAACAGTGATTTTTACTCCCCGAAGTATTCACTCTCATCTATATCTTGTAAAACAAAAATTTAAAATATGATTATCTTGCATTCACATTCAAATAAATGATAGAGAGGAAGAAGAGCTGAATACAAGTAAGAAATGCCCTCCAAGACTGGGAAAAATTTTAAGTCAAGCAGAAAAATCTTAAGAGCATTTTTACAGTAATCTTGGCAAGATAGAAGTAGACTTCAAACTCTGCTGGTCTCTGTTTTACAATATAACATTATATTCTTATTGAAAAAGAAAGTTTAAATTCAGTACATTCTTAAAAGTCCATTAAAAATGATTTCTTAAAAACTCAAAGTACTAAAAGTAGAAACAAGGTTCAGTTATCAAAAAACAATTTTTAAAACAAAAATTAAGATGGTTTTACTACAACTGCCATTAAAATTAATACTGGAAAAAATTATTAATGCATTTATTTACACCCCAGAATCCAATTCCTTTCAAATGCTATTCTATAATGAAAAAATAATGTGGAACTGTTTGGAGGAATTAAAGTATCTGGGGATAATACTTCTACTCTAACACTTGAGATTGAAAAGATGTTCGGAAACAATTTTATGTGACATCTCCCAGTCGTACCAGATATGATAAAAGCCAGAGATTAAATAAATTGCTCAAAAATGTTTTCAAGATTTGCAAAGTTGCTTCAGTCTTATGAGAATGATGTGTCTTAAATGACATCAACCAGGTAAGAATTTACATACTAACCAAGTGATGCAACATTTGGAAGACAAAACTTACATTAATCTGGCTTCTACTCCCAAAGCCTTAGGGTAGGGATGGCATATCCCAATTATCTAGCAAAATGCTCCAGAGACAAAGTGTTGGTTGGTTCTGTGATTATAAAGAAATTCGAGTAAAAGGGGCCAGTTCACTAGCCTGGGAATTTCCAGAATATCCAATACATCAAAAACAAATCGTTAAGTGGTTCAAGAAATCCTAATGGTCTCTCATTATAGTAATACTCCTTCATATAAACATGACAGTCCAACAGGAAGAAAAATCCTGATAAACAATCATAACCATAAAATCCTACTGAAACCAAAAATGTAAGTACAACTCTACCTGAGGCACTTTCACCTGAATAGGATTTACTTAGACAAGAGCTCTGCAATTTCCTTCTTCAAGTCTGAGTGACTCTTATTAATGACACTGAAGAAATGGGGGAAAAACGGCAACATCCTAAAGCGTACAGCATTTTACAGTAAACTCTTTCACATAAAGATTTAAAAGGCTCGCCGGG